AAGGAAATTGAGAATACTCGGCTTCTCTCCCTCTCTTTCAGCTCTCCGCTGCGTACTGGGTCTTGCAAATCTCTGCCCGTAAAAGGCGGATATAAACAGAATAAAACCCAAAACAACACATTTTCCTCTGCCTTCTAGTTCTAGCTCCCAGTCTAAATAGTGTGGATAATTGTGCACAATGGCATCTTTATTTACATGGAAAATATTGCCATTATCCCCTACTCATCTTTGTATCTAAATTCTATTGCATAGTAATTTACTTTCAAATTTTTTAACTTATTCAAATCTGTTGGTCCAGTCCATTTTTATATTTACAAGAGAATGCACAAAAGCTGACATGCAAATCCCAGCTAAAAAGCTAATAGTATTTGAGCTACATAAATTATCCAGCTAGTCAAATGAATAATTATGTTTTTATTGCACAGATTATACCCTTTCCCCCCTAAAGTGGCTCGCCTCTGAAGCCTGGGAAATCTATTAAGGCCAGGCTATAGATCATCCCATCCACTGTGGCGTGTATATAGATTGGCCGGCTCATTTGAGGAATATTGAATCAGTTACAGTAAAGTAAGCCCCTGGATTGAGTCAAATGTAAAAATCCATGCATGTGTGAGGAGCTGTCAGCATGGGCCTGTAATGACGGATGGCTCTTGCAGGGAGTGGTGATAAAAAGTCAAATTATGAGCAGTGGGGAGCGACAGGAGAGAGCGGGGGGAGAGAAGACAAGACAAAAAGAAGTGGACCAGATCCGTCAAACCATAAGTGTAATCAGTCAATGTGTGGGAGCGCTGCAGACGACAGAAAGCGTTTCCTCTTTGGTGCAGTTTGGAGTCAGAGGTCACTGAGGGGTCAAGAGTATGACCCCTGGCCTCCTGCTAGTAGAGACTGACACACGACCGCTCATGTATTGATTCAGTGTTCATGGTTTACTTATGTTATTACTTTAACTATCGGACATGATTGGTTTTCAATTGCATTGATTTAAAAAGTCACCTTTAATCTTTCAAAGAGAATATTTAGCAGGGATTGCTCGTGGAATTCTCGTTTGGTCCCCAGTCCACATAAATTGAGACTAGAATCATTTGGGGCTATAATGATACAGTATAGTTAAAAGGTGGCAACTGTATTTACGAAAAGGCAAATAATATCAACGAGCCCAAACATACACCATATCTGGGACTCAGGCTGTTTTTTTATTTAATGATAATAATGGCTTCAGTCACAGAAACAAATTTTTGCCTGAAAATTGCTTATTAAACTTGCACACACACACCATGTCAAAATTTTAATAAAACCGGGACTAAACATGGAATAGAACTGGACTAAATCAAGTTTCAAATATTCTTTATCAAAGTATTCATTGATATAATAGAAGTAGTGACAGTAAAAGTTTTCTGCAATTTATTTAGTTTGTTTTGCAAATTGTAAATGAATGCACAGGAATTAAATATTTTTTGACTACAGCTCCACTCAAACAGTGAGATATACATTCATACCCTACTCCATAAAACTGTACAACTCACCAATATGTAATAGATAACCCTATGTCATGTCAATCACTATTTAATTGCTGCAGATTTTCTTCTCAGGGCCTCTGAACATAGCCAAGACATGTTTACTATATTACTATATTTTTATTTTTCATATATACAATAATATATAATATACCTTATTCAACATTTGTCCTTCGCTATTTTTGCTACTTATCTTGAATTTATTATTACCATTTATATTTTTGCTCTTTATTATTATATTTATTGTGATGTGTGAGCTACTTTGTCCAAATAATTTTCCTTGTGACTTGGTAAAGTTTGTCTAAGTCTTGGTTCACCCCAAAACCATCTCTCCTTCCTTCTTGATGTAACACTGGCAGACTGAACCCTGGTGACCCCTCCCCTCCATGCTCCATGCCTGACCTGCTGTGAGGTGTGAACTCCTGTCCCCCACTGACAGAGCCTCCCGATCATCTTTATAGTGCCTGTCCCACACTGTTTATGACACAGCAGTTTAATTAGAGCAGCACTGGAGAGGTAAGAGCTCCACGGAGGCAGCCCCACATCAAAGCGGCTATGAGAGGAATGTGGGCATTTGCTGTTTGTTTTATCATCACATATCCACACTTATCTCACAACAATGGCTTGCTCACATGGAGGGACTCTGATCCTGGCAGATACATTTTTTTTTTTTTCAAAATTATGTGAATTTTAGGCAGGAGCTGGATTAGAATCAATTTATGATGCTATTATAAAGGAATTATGAGAACTGGCCAATATAATTTGCTACACTGGTTATTTTTTATCAATAAAGTTTGTCAAAGATATGAAAGATAAGCATTGAATACTCAATTAATATAATATAATATGCCTATGACTTTTTATCAATTTGATTTTTCAAGATTTGCTATGAAGGGGAATTATACATTATTACTTAGAAATCAATTTAACAGCAATTACTTTTGACCACTTATGACTGTAAATCTGGAAGGCTGTTCAAATGAAGCAATACAGCAATCCAAACAAAGCTAAATTAGTTTCATATTTAGCTTGTAACCTAATGAATCAATGTTTTTACTGTTACTGTTAATTTACTGTTTACTGAGAAAATCCTTTACTTGGAGATACTGAGAAATGCTAACCACATCAAACTTTTATTATGTTTGTGTTAATCACAGAGTTTAATGAAGTTGCCTGATGCTTTTCCTCTCTCACAACGTGAATGGGTGACCGTCTGCGCCCTTCTTTTTGCTTGTGTGAGCGGCCACTGCGGCTGGACTTAGTGACTGGGAAAGTCTCCTGATTTATGACCTTGAAGTCTTAACCTTACGGAAACAGAGGTAAAGTTTGGTCCAGTTTGCTGTACTGTACTCTGGTCATGTGAGTTATCTTAAAGAAAATAATAGATAGATTACAGGTGTACTAGAGTAGCAGTGGTAAAATATTTGTTTAAGAGGGATTTTTCTTGTAACAGGTTGGGCGATTACTCCATGAATTAGACGTTAATGATTAAGCAACGCAAATTGAAAGAAATAGGGGGTATTTTATTCTCTGTCTCGCTTGGTAAGTTTTCATTTCCTTCTTCATTAGTTTTCTCTTTTGATGTACGCTCCGTAGACCCTCATAAAAGTGTGGGATGTACGAATACAATTGGGAGTACTTCTAAGTGATGCTTGTTTCTCTCTAAGACTACATTCAAAGATCTGCTGTAGATAAACCTTGTGACTCTGTCTCAGGTCAACACCACACAATGCTGCATCAACAATATTCAAATATGCCGCAGACCAATTATTAAAGTCAATTTTGGGGTTCTTTGCACTTGTTTCAGCGTGCATCGTGAAGTCAAGCAGCTCTGACATATTAAAATCAGCCAACCTTACATTGCCAGTGAAACAGCAGAAGTATCAGCACGCAGTAACTCAAGGCCAAAAGAGGTAGTTTATTTTTATCACGGGCAAAGGCGCCAAATCATGTTGGTATGAAGTGGGCTATATAAATGCAAATTGTATTGGAGAGCTATTAGGCCTGGAAAGGGTTTGTATGTAAATGCCCCAAAGGATCACAGTGGAGCAGTTGGTCTGTTAAGATTAGTGCAGTTTGTACCACAGGAGATAAACCAGGAAAAAGTGGAGAAAATGCAATTGCCTTTTGGAAAATTGTGGTGAACAAGGTGAGAAGTTTAGAAATTGAATTATTGTAGCGATTTTATGAAGTTGTTTTGTATATGGAAGAAGGGCAAAATAAGTTGGGGGTCAGTTTAGCTCCCTACAGATCTTGCTGTAACTCACATTTGTCATATCTGAGATATAGTTAATATTTTTTTATGATGATTTTGTCAAAGCACATTACAAAACTTTGTGCAGATCAGTTAACTTTGTTTGAATACCACTATGAAAGTTGAATCAAATTATATCAATTAAAAATAAATAAATAAATCACTCAAATCATTGAGCCTGATTGTGTAATCTCTTAAAATTTAGAAAACCTGAGCCATTAATGCTGTATGGGTACATACTGATGCAAGGGTGACCTCTAGCTGTGTTTAGCTGAAATTTCCAGAAACTCATATGAACTTGAGACAGCAGCCAAAGGAGAATTGGCATCCTTATTTACTGTTTAACCCTTGTGCCTTGTAGAAAATGTGTACATTGGAAGTGTTTTTTTTTTTTACCAAGTGTGTATTTTTAAACTGCCATAAACCTGTCAAATCTTGGTATTTTTCAGAGATTTATTATTATTATTATTATTTTATTTTTTTCATGAAGTTCTCTTTAAAATGACATATTGGGATTATAAATTCCCATAATTTATGAACTCCTTAGAGTCCAGTTTTTGTCACATAAGTTATTTCATGAAATTATCTCTTTGAATTATGGTAATTTGGTAATAATATTAGTTTTCGATTTGGTGAAATGAGAGAGATTTTCAGAATTGTACTAAACTTTAAATCTGTCCCTAAATGCATGTTTTTGATGAGAAGCACATACATTTCCTGCACCCTGTACATATCCCCACACACACCAAATCATGTCATTTTGGATGACCCAGACCAAAGTCCAAACTGTATTTGATAACAAATTTCATCTATTTTTTTCTTAAATGTATTGTCACTGTGACTTGACTCTTTTTTTAACGGAAATCATAAAAGTTATTTTTTTCCTAGTCTTGTGTAAGGCATGTTTGTTTTCTGTATTACACTAGGCTTTATGCAACTATGTAAACATTATAATGTGGACTAATACAATCTGAAGCTTTAGTTTTAAAACTATTGCTTACCTGTAAAAACACGTGTGTGTGCCTGTGTGTATGTGTGTGCCTGCGTGTGTGTGCGTGTGCGTGTGTGAATTAATAAATGTACTTTCAGATACACAAATTTCCCACAAGGGTTAAAATGTAATGTGCACAAATAATATTTACACGACAGACACTTTTTTTCTAACCAACTCAAATTTTATTCCTTTTAGGAAACATCACTTATCACTTTACAATATTGGTAATAAGGTGCAGTACAAAACAATAAATACAAACAAATACTAATTAAAAACAGATTCTCTGCTTGCTCATTCAATTCTTCAGTGATGTTATGTTCTTACAAATCCAAGTCATACCAGCCCAAAAAAGGCCACAACAAAACAAATTAATTATTTCATCCTACGTAGACTTGGCTTTGTGTATATTGGTCATTGTCTTATTATAAGTTTTATCAGATTTGTGTTGACAGTGTAAGTCTTGTACCTGGAGTCCCTCAGCCGTTAGTGCTAAGCAAGCCTGGATCTGCCATGTGCGATCACGAATGGAGTGGAGACACAGACACTCCGCCAGCTCTGCTACAGAAGGGGCTGTCGTCAAGTCTTTCTTGTTGCAAGGATTAACAGTGGCGCTGCAGCAAGCCTTGTCATCCAACAACTCAAACAGTTGCTGGGCAATCAGAACAAAAGTGCCACTTTGTCATAATGTAGACAAAACTTCACTAGCCTATATTATTTCAATTACACATTCTCACCAAATAGGCCTCCTCAAGTCATTTCTTTTCTGAGCTATCAATGACACATATTTGCAAACAGAGACAATATGAACACTTTTCTCAGAACTAGCTTATGACAGGCCGACAAAATAAAAAAGTGAATCTGTCTGCACACAAACAGGTTGTACCAGCACGTCTGTGTTCTCTAAATAAATCCTCTTGTAGGGGCAAATTTTGCGTTGACCTCGAATGTCCCAAACATTTAACTTAAATCCTGATGACTGGACACTTTTTATACTGAAGCCCTAAAAAAAAGAAGAGACACATCATTTGAAATAATTGCATTGACTTTTACTTCTGTACTTACCTGTGTGAAGGTGTTGTGACTGACACCTTCGACTGCCAGTTGCTTTAGCAAAGTTTACTTTCCCACATTGTCCAAACCAAGCAACAGTAAGTGCACCTCCTGTTCTGGGGCCTGCTTCAGTCAACAAAGAATAGATTGTAAACCCTGCCAGTATGAATACATAATTTAGGGGTTGTCCTCTTTAAATGCAATTTTCGGGTTGTCCTCTTTAAATGCAATTTTCATGAAGACTGTATCTAAACTTAACAGCAGGATCAGTGTGTATTCAGAGACAGCTGACCTAGCATTAGACGAAATTATAATATGGGCATCACTTAACAGGAATCATGTAGGCTATGTACATGTATCAGTTATCTTCTTACCCGGCCTTACCCATGTGTGCCATATTTTAACATACAGCATATTTCATCATGTCATATCCCATATGATATAAGTTCACCTCCTAGGCTTAAATCAGTCCTAAAAGATTAGTATGAAGACCATTTATAAAGTTAAAATAAAGCATGTCTACTGCATGGCAGAAGTAGGCTACTTAACAAACTGTAGCTTAAAGAAACCTAGTTTTAAGTGTAAACATAACTTACATGGGCCCCTCACCATCCCGGATGTGAGCAGGAATCTAGTACAACTAATTTCTGCACACTACAGCAAAGTAAATGACGATAAAGGATTTCACATGTGATATTGATCCCGCAGAGAGTAACTCACTATGCTGTTGTGCTGCTGGAGGTGACTGACCTCAGTCTTGACTGGATTAACCTCAGCAAAGGCGACAGCTGTGTGTCGCCGAGGAGACCGTGACGTCAGAGTAAACAACGGGGGAAAACGGATATTTTTATTGCATTATTTAATTTGAATTGTTTGCTTTTAATTACGAAAAACAAACTTACTCAAGCCCAATGGCAAATAGTTTTAGCAAAAAGAAACAGACTAAAATAAAAGCTCTCTCGTCTTATGTCTCCACAGATCATAATTACAACTTCTCAAATTAATTCACCGCCTGCTTGTCTCAAAGGAGATGATTCTGATTTGCCTGGAAGATTCCGCAGAATGGCATTAATTTCTTCCATTGGGAATATGCCAACGTTTAAAATCCACATTGTAATTAGCTTTTTAATGTTTACAGGCCCCCTCATTAATTCAGACTGCATGAGACCATTTGCACCTGTTTGATGGCGACTGTACGATGACGATGGCTTTATTGTTCTCAGAACAGCTGGTAAACAGCGCCCCCACCAGCTTAAACCTTTTAAAGTTTCTCATTACTCACCGTCTTTCCAGGAGCAACAAAAACAAGCTGGGACAGAATCCGTTTCTGCTTTCACCTCAACACGTATTTATTTTACCGAGTACTAGCTATATGATTTCCGTCGTGTTCAAGGCTTTAAACCCAGAAAGATGCCGCAGAAAACACTGGGATCCGTTGTAGGTCTGCTTTGTGCTGGAGCCTGTCTGGTGCAGGTAAGCCGCCTGTGGGGCTCTCAGGGTCGGTGGGATTTCCAGGCAAAGCCGCGGACTCTGGGGGTGGCGAAGGCCTAGTCGCTCTTTTTTGTCTCCTCCACAAAGGGAAGGGGCACAGCTCACTAGTCATTTCTCCTAGACTGACGCCAGGGTTAGTCTCATGATGTGATTATTTCCCAGCAGAATGAAAAGTATAAAGAGTAAGTAAAATAGGTTCACCAGTTAACTGAGTTTTAAATCATGTACACCGCACTGAAAGATTAGCTCTTGCTAACAGTGACATCCGGCAAGTGTTTATTCAACAGAGGTTGCAATCTAGGCTAGCGGAAGAGCTACTGTGTTTTAGTGAGTTTGTGTGCGTCATTTCAAAAAACACATCTTAAAAGTGTCAAGAGGTGCAATGATTGTTTTTTAAACTTTGTACTTCCTTCTCTGCAGGTGACGTTTATTGTCCTGCAGTATAACACACAAAACCTAACCTAAAGGCCTATTGGCCACAGTAAACAGACACTACAATGACACATTAGCTGAACACATTCTCAACCCAATCCAAGAGGAAACACCTAGGTTGCTGAATTATAGAAAATATGTTCCATTAAACAATGTAAATGTCGTTTGGTTTATCCTCGTTTCCTTATCTTGGTGCTTCAATGTCCCTTTTTCTAGGCAAAGGAGTTTTGTTTTGGGGTAAATAATGAGCAGTATCGCTGTGAGATGGGTTACTGCTGTGGGGAGACAGAATGTTGCACCTACTACTATGAACTTTGGTGTGAGTATTTGCCTCCTTTTCCCACAAACTGGGTGTTGTGTTAATACCCACTTGTCAGTTCTTAACTAGTACATAGATAAAGCATGTAGTAGTGATGCTATAGAATGTTGGTTGATTCTGCTTGTTTTCTGTAGGGTTCTGGCTGGTTTGGACCCTGATTATCATGCTCAGCTGTTGCTGTGCATACCGTCACAGAAGAGTAAAGATGCGTTTGCAGCAAGAGCAACGTCAGCGAGAAATCAGCCTGATGGCCTACCAGGGAGCCTCCAGCTCCTTTATTTCTCCCCCTCCACTTAATTTGAGTGAGTGACTGTGCATAAGAATTTTTATCATCTTAAATTAAACTTAAATGTGTTAATCTTGGATGACAAAGGATATTTAATTATATCATTGTCTTCTTGAACCAAAACACCTAAATAAGACTTCGACAAAAAAGAATAAGTGTATTGCTGTTATATGAAGCATATTCTGAATTTGTGCTTCTGCTTTTGAAGGGTTTTGGAATGACTGCAAACTTCCCGACTATGAAGAAGTGGTAGGCCACCCACCGACACCACCACCTCCGTATTCAGAGAACCCTCCAGATATTGCTCCCCCTGCTGCACAGGTGATTTCTTCTCAGTCACAGGTAAACTCCGAAGCAGACAGCACAGAGGGTACAGAGGCCTCAGGCACTATGTCACACCAGGGAGCAGTGTCGATGCCAGTCCAACCCTGCCTGCCTGTAGAGAGTGGAGATGAGGAGGAAGATGAGGAGCTCAACACTCGTCGTCGCCATATTACAGGTGATTCAGGGATTGAGGTGTGTGTCTGTCAAGTGGATGCTGATGAGGACAGTGATGGAGAGCACCGCATGTGTATGGCCACAAGTGGGGACTACTGCTCCGCCCGACAGCAGCAGCCTTTTATACCGAAAGAGCATACTGCTGAGGTAACAGGCCAGAATGCAAACACCAGTTCTGCTGATCACATGGTGTGAACTAAGGTTTTACCCCCTAACCAGCATACTGATGTGGCTGTCTGGTTTTGTAGACGGGCAAGCTGCAGCCATCTTTATTAACACGGGGAATGTCTGTTATATTTTTAACACGTCAACATTAGGTTTGTGTTGAGTGGCGTTAAGCTTTAAGGAAGACAAAAACAGGAGGGAAGGTGATCTTTCAAGATACTGTTTTGCCTTTAGCCAGTGTGAAATCTTTCAAAGCAATTAATGCTCTGCTTTTTGGTTTCATTGACATTCTTTTAAAGTAAAGGGGAACGACCCTGTTTTGCTCCCTCCCTCTCTATAAAAACCGTGTTTCAGTGAACGTGTTGCTCCTCTTGACCCGAAACATTTCTATACAGAGCTGCCTGACGTGGGTCAGCCACATTTCTCCCTAGTTTCTTCTACAACTTACCAAAGGGAGTCCTAAAGAAGAAAGGAAGACCCTGGATAAACAAACAAGTGTCCACTTCTTCCCATCAGACTTTGCATGAGAGCTTGCAGTATGTGTGGCCTGTGGAATCTGGGGCACAGCTGCATAGTGATGTCAGCTCTGAGGTCATGGTAACCAGCATCTGGTGTGAAGCCCATGGGGGCGTCCCAAATGGAGCAAATCCAGTTATCCCCAGATTGTATGGAAAAAATTAATCTTGTTAATTAGTCTTTTTTTCATTTTAGTATCTTAAAGTTTGTAGTTTTTTAAAATATCAGACTTACTCATATTGAACATGTGTTCAACAATGAGCATGAGTGTTTGAGTGGTTTGCTTACATAATTTATGGATTGACTACATGGGACTTCTGCAGTGTACCCATGTGTCATTAAAAATAACAGATGGAAGGGCATAGCCAGCCACCAAAATCTAATCAATAAAAAGCTTTGTGGTGGCTATGGTATGATTGTTGATTTGTGCTGCCAGTTGCTTAAGTTTAAAGAAGCACGTTTTTATATGTAACCAATTGTGCTTTAGTCAGTGTCACAGGTTTTTTCTTCAAAGTTTCTCTGAATAATCCGAGTTAATAATGTTGAAAATAGTGAGTAAAACAGATTTTAGAGTTGTGGTCTAAGAAATTATCATTTACATACACTGCTTTCTGCATTAGTTCATTGACTGAGTATTTTAATTTTTCAAATGCAGATGGTTGGCCAGACAGGCATCTGATAATTGCGTGCTTGGCTCTCTGGCCATCACTGAGAGCATGTGTAATTTGCAGTGTTAGTTTCCATAAGCTGCAGAGCATGGCTGCTTTTAAACATGATGTGAAGTCTGTTTTGGTCCAGCTTTAGGCTCTCTGGCTACCTTATTTGTGTTTCTAAAAATATAAATATATTCTACATCCATAAAAAATAAATGCTATTGGATATAAATTGTGAATAGATGGCCTGAAAACCACTAAATGACTCCCAGTAGAGAATTTCTTGACATTTTACATAATCATACAATGCATGGTTTTTTAAATTCTCATTTCATATGAATCAATTTAAGGCAATAAGAAGAATTTCAGGTTTCTCTGTGGAATTCTTTGAAGCAGTAAACCTCCCTTATTGAGTATATCTCACTTCAGTGAAATAACATGAGAAGCGAGTTGGCCCCTTGAGACAGATTTTATGACTCCAACATGCCACAGTCACTACACTTCTGTTTTGCTATCTATTTCACTGATACAGTAAAGGCTCATGTGACAGGGGTATTTGAATGCATGTAAATTGTGAAAAATAAGATGGAAGACAAGATGGACATAAAGCAGAATAAAGAACAAATGCCTTGCGTAACTGCAACATAAACCCAATGATACAAATGGAAGATGGACTTTTTTTTTTTTTACTGTAACTGTACAGAGCTCTTTTTTTTATTGAAAGTGAAATGCTTTTTGCTTAGGCGGGTGACTTCAAACATTTTCAAATCACATGAGTTAAAGTTTCACTTTGCGTAAGGTAAAATTGAAATGTGTTTGTATTCTTGATCAGGCGCAGAAGTTTTAGTGTTTTATTGCTTTGTATTTGATTGTTACGTTTTATGACATCAGCATGTACACATGGAATGAATCATCGCTTTCTGCATTTTTTCATAAAATTCTCAGTATTTTTATTTTATCCAAGAAGATGGATGGTTGTGCTGCACTGGAGATACATAGTTACTCTTGATTGCATAATTTCTACAAATGTATATGTTTACCCAGAACAAGGGCTATAACATCCACTTATGTACCTTATGTACTCATCATTTTAATGTGTTTTAATTAAAAGCCACCAGAGATTGACTCAATCGTCAGCAAGTTTGTATCTCCTCTCAATGTTCAACTTATGTTTTTATATGTGTTTTATTGGATTTCGGGTCCCAGACAGAGTACATGTATGTTGTTGCCTCACACTTGTGAGGATATAAGCCTCAGAGGGCACAAAGCATTTAATTTCCACACTGTATATTGTTCTCACCAGCGTGTCCTTTTCATGTGCATGTCTTGTTTTCCCATGCTCAGGGATATTCAAAACAAGGAGTGCTAGAGTTGGACCATTTTTAACATATTGTGATAAGCCAAAGGAGATCTGTCATAGTCTGGATCTGTATGAACCTCTTATTGCATTTTCACCTTTTCTTACCCTAGGCTATGCAAAAACATAACATGACTGTTATATGCTGCACCCTTTTCTGTTTTCCTGAGTACCAGTACTAGCAAAATAAACCCTGTACTTGTGACACTGCGCTGTACTGTAATCTACTACGATGTGTATGTACTTTGTGTAAGCAAAATGTAAGGCGGATATGTGTGTGTTCTGGAGCTTTATGATGTGACTGCAATTTCCATATTTTACCATGAGAAACTCTTTGTATCCACCATCATAATAATGGCATGTTTGTATTCAGATTGTTTAAATTTTAGATGCGTAGTAAAGATTGTGATGATTTAGTTAACTTACATGGTGTTCCATGTGTAGACATTTGGCACACATTGCGTTTTGAGTGTTTTTGGTCTTCAGTTATTATTAAACAGAATGAATGTTGCCTTTAATCACCAGTTATTCCATCACTAATACATTGTATGTATAGTATACATATGAATGACCTCAACCTGGAACACAGACGGCATATGTTAAAACTGTTGCTCGCACCATGACACAATCTATATTATTACTTTTTAACATTTCATGTGCCATGGTTTCCCTTTGTTTTGCCAATATAAAATACTGTGGCTAAAGTGTCAGTAGACCGACCTGCTCTCTAGTTATTTTAAATCTGCAAGCAAATCTAAAATTAGTAAGTTGGAAACGCACTGAATAAGACATGCTTTGTTACAAGCAAGTCTACTGTGTACTCTTTAGGTCATCATTTGTATTTTATTTTTTTAATAAAAAACTTGAACTTTAACTTGCCTATCTTTGCACTTTATGAACTTTTTTAATATGGTAATTCTTTCTCTAAAAGGAGACATGCAAAATTTACATTTATGAGCTTTGAAACGTTTTGGTTTTCTCTCACTGCTGAGAGTTGGAAGTTTGACTTATGCATATGTTAGACTAATCAAATGACTTGCCCCCTATCCCTGCACACAGTCCATTCATGTAAATGTTTAAAAATATTGCCAATTTTCAAAAAAAATAAATAAATAAAATAATAAAGGCTGCAGTGAAATGCAACTATGAAGAGGGCCAGCAGCAATAATCAGTTCTGTAGTTTTGAACAGCCAAATGTTAATATTATGGTTTTCAATTTCAAATTTAAAATAAAGCATATGTCTTTTAAAACAAGCCAAAATGTGTGGTGGAAGAGTATTGAATTAAACTAGAACAGTGGCACAAAACTCACAATAAGTAGTTCATAAATGTATTTTATATTGTGGTTAAGACAAGATGCTGAAACAGTCACCAGTTGTGCTGCAATGTATAATAAATATAAATAAATAAATAATTTAAAATAAATAAAATCCCAAAATGCCATGTTATATATATTAATCTTGTGTGTTAAAATGAATCACAGCATGCAACTACTAGCACTTCAACATCATTCTGTGTAGGACCCAAGCTGGCATTCTTTCAATCATACATCATCAGGTAAAAGATCTTGCACACATGTGCAATAGCAGTCTGAATGGTAAGGCTGGGCTGGTGTGCGTCAGGCGGTCTGCAGTCCAGTAGCATACTGGAGAAGAGTCTTTTGCACCATAAACCAGATTAACCAGATAACAACATTGTTAGTGTTCTAGAGGACCACAGACCTGTCTCTCACGGGTCAATAGAAGCGCTTGCGTCTGGTCTCATTCCAGTGACTATAGACCACTAATCCAATAACGATTAGAAAAATAGAACCCACCATAGAGAAAAGCACAGTGAAAAAAATGGCTATGCTGCTCATTCCCTCTTCATTTCCTTTCCCTGAAAAAAAGGATTTTAATTTACATGATTTTATTAAAAGTTATGTAGTGAAAGTAATGAAACTTACATCTGATAAGTTCTATGTTATCTACACTCGGTATAGTTACATCCTCTTCATTGTCATCCTGATTTTTTTGATTTAGCACTGTGATTTGATACAGCTTCATGGAAATTATGTCATGATTATCTATGAGGTAAAAAGTTAAATTAGTTCACAAAACATATACAGTCTGCATGAAGGTGGGCAACTGGCAATGAGTGTTATTTGTCATTGGTTATTTACCTGTAAGATCTCCAGTCAAGGCTGAAGCTCCAAAGTAGTAACCCTTTGGCAGACGCACCCCTGGTATGTCTAAGCAGTCCCTCCACTCATGCTGTCCATCGATGTCTATCATCACCTAATGAGGTAAATCATGTTTACATAATAATGTTAAACCTATTTCCTTATCATTAGAAAGTGTGTTTTTTACCGTTAGTCTACGGCTGACATATCGAATGAAGACAAAAGTATCGTGTTTGAGGTTGCGCACCATGGCGTTGCAGCTACCCAGCTCTGTGGGCCTTCCATCTCTTTCATGGTCATAACTGATGGTGCCGTTACCAACCATGGCCAAAACAAGTGGGAAAATCCTCTTGTGTGCACAACAAAACATGATATGTTGTCATTCTATTGCTTTTGCAAGTTTTAATGAAGTGTACAAGAAGCAGTTACCTCAGTGCGAGGTGTGTATCTTTTTTTCTGAGCCTATTATCAAAATAGGTAAAAAGCAGAGCAATTACTTACCATTATGCAAATTCCAGTGTATTTCATCTTGGCATACTAACCTCTAAGTATTTTTCCTCATTAGGATATGTATCAACAAACACACCCAGGCCAGTAAAGTTGTCCATGTTTCCAAATACAGGGCCTGCCAATGACAACAAAACATAAGAAAAGTAATTAACTTTAGGCAGTACAAATATGAATATAATGCTGCAAGTTAACAACTATGCTTAGACCTTTCTGCATTCTTTCTTTGGTGTACCAGATAGCCAAGCCATCCCCATTCAGGTTCTTCTTTCCCTGACCATGGATTTTAAAGTGCACCTGCATTTCCCAGTCTTTAAGTTGGCAAGGCTAGAAACATAGTCAATGTTTAAAAATACAATTAAAAAAGGATTATAAAAGGAAACTATTTCATTAAGCAGTATAATACAGTTGATTTAACAATATAAATCAGTTAATTTAGACAGGACAGATAACCTTTAAATAATATGTAATAGCATTTATTTTACTTACCATGCGACTCCACACGGCCCCCTGTCTGCTTTGCATGTCAGGCGTGAGCCGCACCTGCTCAGTGGTTACCATGGCGTCCCCCATCAGCTCCCAGTAGGAGGAGCCTAAAGATCCCACACCTGGCACACACATATGGGCACACAGACAAACCATCATCATGACTAAACACACAGCACAGCATAAAGCACTGACCAGCAGGACAACACACAGGAGGAGAAGGAGGCACCCTTTGCATTGTACTAGAATAAAGGAACGATGACAATTTTGTTTCAATAGGGGTAAACTGAACTGTGGAGACACGTCAGTATTAGTTATTTTTCCCTAGAAGACATTTAGCTGCAAACATATTGCATAACAAATCAAAAAGAAATATCTACCAAACTGACGCGCACAAATAAATGAAGTACCTTGGTAAGGCTTGGAAAGGGAAAACTCTCGCTTTAAAAATTCCTCCATCTCATGGTCGTCGTCAGAAAAACAACTGCCCATGTGCAAAAACAGAAGAATATACATGCTGTACAGTTTAAAATACATTCTGTCGCTTATGTTAAAGCCCCTAAATAACACTTTGGAAGGATTAAAACGGTCGCTCCAGCAGCTGGCAGCGGCAGTCGCCATTGTGGTAAAAACCAAAACACACACCCCACATCAGCGCATGCTCCTATTGGCTCATAGATTTACATGGCTGATCCCCATTGGTAAATTTGACTGTCTGTCATACCCAAAGCGATAAAAATACACGCTTAAGAGCTATCAAGCTATTATTATTATTATTATTATTAATTATACACTTCTGTATACTCTAAATAGGCCTAATATAAAAAATAATTTCTTTATTTACAGATATTTCCAACTATCAGTCATAATGCAGCTGTTGGGTATTTCTAGATTGTTCTAGCTTTTTGGTGTAGCCTACAATTAGACCTGATTCTTCTCGATGATGTGCCCATTTGCAAAACCTTGGTTTAAGTATGATCGTAAATCGTAGAATGTTTTATGTTTGTCCGCGGTATGCTTTTTTACTGCTCAAATTTGCTTCAAATAAGGGAGTAATCTGAATTTTGATCATTCTCTTAGACTTGTAAAAATCTCAATTCGCCACTGGAGAGCGCTGGAGTCTTTATTGGCTAGTCCATAGATTCATGAACCTAGCCCCATAGACACGCCTCCTTCAGGGTCGCTTCTCACTGTACACTTTTTCAGCACTGCTGCTGGCACGTATTGTAAAAATAGCATCGGGGAATGGAGTAAAGGAAGTCATGGATTCCACCGAAGACAAAAACCCTAAAACAGTCGATATCTACCGTGACACATGGGTTCGCTTTTTGGGTATGAAATATGTACTATATTGTGTCATGTACTAGTGTACTTTGGAGGAATTCCTTTTACCTTTCGTACTTAAACCGTCCTCAGTCTTGACCTCTGATGCTGCGCTAGCTAGTGCGCTTGAACAACACAACTTTGTTAGCAGAATCACTGCTCTGGCAATGCCTGTTTATAGATTCAGAGTGAACAATGCAACAACAAAGGGGTCATCTGAAACGTTACGTTTACCATATGGGTACACATTTTACAAAATGTGTGAAGAGCTAATTGGAGTTAGTAAGCATAACGTACAGTGACCCACTGACAGATTGTCACTGATGCCACAGAAAGTACACTGTAGCATAGTAGACCTAACTACCTACAAATCAGTGGTTCTATTAGGGTGGTCAAACACTGGGCTCCAGGTTGGCGGTTTGATATCTCATTGCCAGGTCACGGCTGAAATAATTGTCATTATAGTAGTTTACCATTAACTTGGCTGACGCCAGATAGACGTTTGTAGAACTCTGTACTGGGTTCCAGCACAAATGGCGTGAGAATTAACCTTGCTTAATTTACTGTAAGCCTTGTAGAAACACCAGTCTTATGCTGATTTACAGGCTATGCCAATGAGGTTGGGGAGGCTTTCCGTGCTCTCGTCCCTGTGAGCCTGGTATGGGGCAGTTATGTTGTTGCCACAAGTTATGTTACTGCTGATGCAGTGGACAAAGGGAAGAAAGCGGCCAAGGTAACTTCCTTCAACATTATTTTGCATATGCATACAGATAATTACATACAGATAATTACTTCTGTCCTGTCCAGGATCATGGGGATAAACCAGGGAAGACAACCCGCGTAGCAGTGGCTGTTGTTGACACGTTCGTGTGGCAAGCCCTGGCTTCAGTCATCATCCCTGGCTTTACCATAAACCGTGTATGTGCAACATCATTGTATTTACTTGGCAAGACCACCAATCTACCCCTGCCTGTCCGCAAATGGACCACAACCGTCATAGGACTGTCCACCATCCCCTTTATTATCACTCCAATAGACAGGTAAGTCAGGTCCCTATTGTGTATTAACAATGGCTTTTATGTTATTTTAACAGCATCTTAAAACCTTTAATATGTCTCTCATTGCCTTCAGATCAGTGGATTTCCTGCTAGATTCAAGCCTTAGAAAGGTCTATGGTGAAGGAGAGAAGCATGAATAAGATTGCACAGTGTGTACTGGGCTGTTGGAACACCATAGTAAAACTTGAGTTATACTGTACATTAGGGGGCTTTATTCTGCTTTAGCTCTCAGGGTATTTGGTTTTTTATTTTGTTGTTTTAGCCATATAAAGTTATTGTTATTGGTCTTGTCTTTAGACTCACATTTATATTATATGTTTTGATTTCAGTGTCTTTTACCTGAAGTTCATGTAAAGTCAAGGGAAACGAAAAACCATTTTGTTACAATGTGTTAAGATCTACAATAGATCATAAACATAAGGAATGTTTTGAGCTTCTCACCGCAAGGGAAAACTGCAACTCACAGGTTCTCTAGTTTTACAGTTCACTTTGTTGCCATTCAGTATCTTGCAATTCACAAGTTTACAATACCTGGCTTATTCTTTCTGGAAGTATAACGTTTAACTTTCATAGATTACAACTGATACCTCTTTCTTGTCTCAACATTTCTGTCTATTATTGTCTCTGTGTAAACCAACAGCCTTCAATAGTATGACTATTGAGCTATGCTGAGGCCTTTTGGCAAACATGCAGATTTATTTTTATGAAAAAATAAAAATGCTTATATAACCATACTGATACAAACAGGCAGGAAATATTAAAATGTATTAGGGATATAGTAAATGATAAAGTTTGCCATTGTGAATGCAATGAATGCAATACAGTTAAACTGAAAGGGCACAATATTGGGTACAGTAAAGTGTTCATTGAGGAAATGCTTGGGAAATAATAGTTTTTTTCTATAAATGAACACATCTTGATACAGATTTTAGTTTTAAAGGCAAGCAAGAAATATAATAGTAGTATAATATAATAGTCAGAATTTTATATAAATGTATTGTATAGGGCAAATTTTTATGGATATGTCTCTGATTGAACATCGAGACTATGTAAAGCCATAAAACTGATTTATGTGAACTACTGGATTTCCTGTAATTATTATGATGCATGTTTACAAATGTTATACCTGTGAATGCTGGGGAATGGTTATAGTCACTGTTTGTGTGTTACAAATGTTGGTTAGTCATAAATATTGAAAAAGTATAAAATATATTTTATTTTAGTTGGTTTACAAATAAATATATAAAACACTACTTGATCTGTTTTAAACTGTGTGATGGACCATTTACATTTATCAACAGATTTTCTTAAAGAATTTTTGTATCATTAGTTAAATTGAAGAGGGTTTCCCAATGCAGTGGAAGATCTCAGTGCACTGAAGCTGCCAACTGAAGCACTCATTTGTCTTGATTGAGCGAGGGGAGCACAGCTGATGCCAGTTCAGTAATGAGACTACATAAGCTCAGAGATCTGACATTGGGACATGCAGTCATGTTTACCACTGGGATTGTCTTGTTGGCTCTTGTGGCCTTATCATGTGGAGAATCAGGTTGGTTAAGTATTGTGCGTTTGCTGTGTAAAACAAATTATTTTATGTGTTACTATACTGTGGCTTTAGTTTAATTTCTCTAAGTGGACTAAAGATCCTTGCATATAAACTATCAAATCCTTAGCTAGTTCAAGTTGAAATTAACTATATTACCTACTTATCCTCCCGTCCTAGGAATGTCTTTTGAAGATGTTGACCAGGCTCTGGATGAGTCAATAAATGAAATCAAAACACTTATTTCAGAAGATGTTCCCATGTGGTCCGAAAACTTCTCAGAAATATTTGGGCTGCCTGAGGATGATGAAACTGTTTTGTCTGAGTCACAGCCCCATGTTAAAAAAGAACAAGGCAAGAGTCTCATTTATAATTTGATTTAAGTCTAATATTCTGAAGTTTTATAAAAAAAATTTTTTTTTTGTAGGAGGCTCTACTGTGTGGAAGGTGTTCCTGGTCCTGGCTGTACTGCTGCTGGCAGTGGTGGGGGTTTTGAGTACAGTTTACTACTTATGTGTGTGGAGAGGGGGCAGGATGCATTATGAGCAACACAAGGATGTCTCCACGTGAACTTTGTCCGTTGTCTGCCTTGAAATGTGTTGAGTGTTATTCTTCAGCTCTTTTTGGATGTTCTAAATGGGCTATTTTCAATTAAATAAAGTCAGGACTTGAGTCAACCAATATTTTGGTTCCTTCTAAACTCCACTAGAGGGCCTCATATTCTTTGCTATCACTGAGTTCCCATGGATTCACGAGTTCCAGGTTTGTCATGTGCAGCATGGAAAAGGTAGATTTAAATTCTAGTTCAGTTAAAAGGAAACATCCAAGTTTAGATATTCTACTGTTTTGTAAAACTGGTACTTGTGAATAGATATTATCACAAGTAGGCCCTTGTTTAATGTGTGTTGTCTCAACCAGTTTTAATTGGGGGATTTGTGTGTGTGTATATTTTGACCAGTCTAAAGCTATATAATGCAGTTGTGACATGGCATGAGTTCCTGTGTTCCTGTGTATTCACTAATCCCTCTTTCAAGTGCTGCTCCTTTCACTTCACACATGGGTTTTTATTTTCTTGTTCCTGGCCTTCGGCAAACACAATTCCTCTCATAAGGCTTCATCTCGATCAGAATTATGGCAGAGAAACAGTCCACAGCTAGAGTAATGTTTTAATTCAATGTCAAGTGAGCGAGCTCACATCAAATCCACAAACATTTATAAGTCCCCCTTGAGCAATATCAGGTGGCATTAGTGGGCCCAAGGAGACAAAAAGCTGATGAATTGAATTAATCTCCCCTCCCGTGATGGATGGGCCTGTTCACAGGGGGTTGGAAAATGGGAGCATTGTTCATCTGTCACTCCGATTGCCATGTCCCTCTATGATTTGTGCCTGGGCTGTGAAGGCCACAAGTGGCTAAGGCAGACCTCCCTCCTCTTCTCCTCACTCCCTTTTTCCCAGTGTTCAGTCACCTCCACCCCCTCAACTTTTCATATTCATATAGCCACATGAAAGGAACAAGATTCTGGCTAGGATAAACATGCTAGTGATCCAAATCATTCAGACCAAAATTCTTATAAAAAATAAACACTCTTTAAATCACCCTGATCTTGCGGTCCAGCTTCATTCTTTACTCTTTAGTCTCTAATGTTACAATTGTGAATTGTCTTTAAACACTACTAAGGCCCTTAGTTGCTGGGATTGACTTTTATGGCGCCATATAATTTTGGACCCAAAAACTTTACTCCATCACAATATTGATTCAATATGTTTATGTTTCATGGAGGCTTCAGTGAATATTGATAGCTCCTAGCACTTAGAGCTTTATGATACAAATGCGGTTAATGTCCACTTCTTCTCTGTTTCCATGGTTCCTCTCAACTACACAACTTAAGCCATTTCTCTCCAGAGAAAACTCTAATCACTAAAGGGAGTAAAATTAGAAGCCCATTATCAGGGAAAAATACTTGATTCACAAGAGCAACAGCAGGCTGTCTCAAAGGGGAAATCCGAAATGGAATTAGGACATAAGAAAGCACTTGCCACATTATGATGAATTGATTCTGGTCCAAATAGTCTGTAACAGTTTTGATGAACTTAGTAAAATTACAGTAATAATTAATCAAGCTTATTATCAATGACCCAAAAGCCTTCTATAAGACATTTTATAAGTGGTTACCCATTCTCACACCATATTATGGGAATACCTAAACATGAAGTACAACTACAAATCTAAACTGATGTTTTTTCTCTGCGTATTAAAATAAGGATGTTATTTTGTTCTTTTGATATCTTCAGGTAGCCTACAGATAAGGCGGACAAAACCACATATGAACATGAATAATAGTTTTACAATGGACAATAATTTTTATTATAACACAATAGGGACTATTCCCTCTCTCACACACCCCTCCCTTGGCTCAAGTACCCTCCTCTCCAGCATTCACAGACTATTTTAGAAGAAAGGGCCACTTTAAGGGTACTAACTGAAATGCTTAATGCTCAGTGGTCGATTTATTGAGGTCAGCGTGAGGCTACGATTTGCCAAACAGAGGAGAGCTCCATGTTTGGATTGATTTTCATGAATGATTTTATGCTTTGAGCAAAAGAGAAACAAAAGACAATCGCAGAACATCAATTTAACCCAGGAAAGACATCAGTCACAGCAACGTAAAAATGAAGGGCGGAGGGCAGAGCTGTAAATGAATGAAAATCAATGCGGGACTTGGAAATGTGAAGACGAAGAGCTGGGAGAAGTGTAATATATATCATAATGGTGTGTAATTATGATTGTGCATGTGATGGAGTGCCTTGTTGTTCATAAACGAGGGCTGTGTTTTGTTCATTACAGTCAAAGACCATGTTCTGCTAAATCTGTAATTTCAGCTAAACAGACTTTTCAAGGAGAGCTGTATTGCAAAATTGTTCTACACTATAGGTTATGGTATTAGGCCTAGTAGTAAAAAAATAAAAACTTCTAATGACCAGTTCACAAAATATTAATAATAATTTTGCATACTTAAATGTTAAAAGTGTACTGAAAACTATTTAAGCCCATTACTTTCATACTGCACTGCTGCAAATAGGCTAAGAATTGAGTGGAGAACTCAGATGCTCAATTACACCATTCCCCCAATTGTACTACATACTTAGTCTAGACATTTCATTATAAATCTTTTCAGACATCTTATAAGTATTTTTTTTTTTTGACAAGTTTATAATGCAACATAGGCCTAAAGTTGTCCATAATGATTGGCACATATTTGCTCTTAAAAATCTCCACAAATCACACCACCTCCTGACAAATCTTATTAGGTCCAAGCATCTTCTCTGTAAGAAGCTGGTGATTCCTTTATGGACTGAGTGCTGTAAATGTGCTGGCTGTACTATGTCTCTCTTTGTGAAATGAATTAGGAGAACATGAAAACTGAGCACACCTTCACCAATACATTATTTATGAGGCTTCCAGTGAATTCTGTTCAGGTGGCATCGGGGAGTGCAGTCAAGCGCAAATGCAGGCCGGTCACTTAAAGCACACTATCTGTAGTAATATTTCTACATGAGAGCACTGGCCTCGGCTCTGTGTTCTCTATTGACTGGTGAGATATGTAATTCAGCTCTATAGTGGGTTTTGACAAGGAAAGAGGGGATTAAAAGGCCTTGCTCTAACCTTCATGGTGTTTGTACTCTTACATGCCTTTAAGCTACTATTTGCAATGTAAAATAAATCTATATTTTGTTTACAGTTAAAGCATAGAATAAATCATTATTTCTTAGGCTCACTATAAGTTAAAAGATACACCAAGTTAACTTTTTTCTTCTCCAGATTCATCTGCACAATGGAATAGTTTCAGTTATAATACATGTATTATGAAAAGGTAGAAGAGACACAAATATAGGATGGTCTGTGTGACAATTTTGCCAGTTTTTATGAGAAGAATTTATTGCTGTTTTTTCCATATAGTTTTCTAATAAGAAAGTGGTCATCACATAAAACCCCAGATTTGTCTATGTACTCCCTTAGTTGTCCAGGAGTGGTCCATAGAGAAGGTTTTGAAGGCAGTCATCTGGTCAGTGTTTTTGAAATCAAGACATTATGACTGCGATTTGGAAGCCATTACCGCTCTGAAGGTGCTGGTCTGAGGATACAGAATTTATACGTTGGTGTTTTGGTTCTCAAGCTAATTATTCAGTCAAAAGGAAGAATGAGTCTCACATGAATCTCTCATTTGGTTTGCCAATTTCACTACTGAAATCCAGTTGGTTTGAACCTAAAATGCCTCTCTCTCTAATCTGAATACTCACTAATCATTACCTTCAGCCAATCATGATTCAGTGCTAATGCAGCCTCTACAGCTGAGTGAGTGAATTGTGGATGTTCTGTTCTTTCACAGACAGGGCCTGTCCTTTTACTGAGAAAATCTAAAGAGATGCACATTTATGTCCTCTATATGCAGGTTAAGGGACTGGCAACCCAGGTTCAAGTGTGATTGTATGGTACCTTTTTTAAACTGTAAGAGTAAAGGCTACATACAGTGCTTTTAATGTTATAGAGGATGTGTTAATTACCCACAACTTCAACATGTAGAATGGTTTTAGGCAATGTCAGGAGTGGATCAGCAAATTTGATGGCTTGACATCCTCTCAGAATCAGATAAAGCACTGTAAGATCCTCCATCTTCTGTTGTTATGAGATAACATCTAATTTCCCCATC